CATTGGCTGAGAAATGATTTTGAGTGACTTGGTTTTCTTTGACCTCTGGGATTGTCAGCACCTTTACTTTACTAATATGTAACATGGCTTTACAAAAGAGAGATACCATAGATATGTAGCATTTCTGAGCTTCTATATTATGGACTATTTTTGTACAAGATGAATGCTCCCCAGGTAAGCACACTCATGGAAATATTAGATTCTAATAGCATCATGAAAGAGTCATGATTGATTCTCTGATGGAAGGCATTCTTATCTGGGAAATGCTACACAGTATATGAATTATCAGCATTGACCGCCAATAATCCATGCATATTCAATCACCCATCAAACTCTATTGGTTTAGATTTTGTAATTTTGCATGTTTTATCAAATGTTTTGTATCCTCTTGCCGTACCGTAATTCAAGGCATACTGACCTAACTGTTGAAAGCATAGCCAGGTGACACTCTGCTTTAGTGACATTACTATCAGGGGGACCTTGTGACTTCTTTCTTTTGTGACTCTTCCTTTTGCCTTGGATCAAGGGGATTCCTGGGAGGTGAACCCTGGGAAATGCTGGCCAGTGGACATGAGTTGATCTCCTGACTGGAACAAACTGACCAACTCCAGGCATTCACTGGTTTTATTTCCAGCCCCATCAATGCTCTTGAGACTTGGACTCGGACCAGAATCTTTCTTGGCCCTTCATGTTCTCTTGTCCTGGAATCCCTCAGGCTTTTCTGAAAAACCTGAATTTTCATGTCTCATTTGCTACATAAATTCTACCAATGTTTTGCCTCATCTGTGAAATTTTACTGGGTTTTGCAAGATCCCCATGACCACGAGTCTGCTTTTACCTCTTGCTAGATCTGCAAAACCAAGATGCAGGCTGAGGGAATGGATTTGTAGGGTTTGAAACTCCAACATATTAGCTTACTCAGCAGTTTTTTTCTTGAAAATTGACTGGATTTATTTTTTTCCTAAAATTTAATTCACATAGTGTAAAATGTATAGAATTTTAAGAGTTTACAGTTTGAGGAGTTTTGACAAATCTATAGTGCCCATAAAGTATCTGTCTCTGTCAATATGTGGAGCATTTTCATCACTACGTAAATTTCTGTCTTTTTCATAGATCTCAACTGTCTGTCTCCCTTATGCAGATATAGTTCTGATTCCTGTCACCATAGAGTAGTTTTGTCTCTTCTGTGATATATATGTAAATCCAAAAGATATATATGTATATCTATCTACAGTTTTTTTTCCAGTCAGCATAATGTTATTGAGATTCATCTATATTGTAATTTTAGTCGTTCATTTTGAAAACATACTGTCTTGAAGTTTGTAAGGGAAGAGATCTCTTCCTGAGGAACAAGTCCTATTGTGGGCTATGCACGTGCCGTTAAACACATAGATTTGTATACAAAGTACTAAATACAGTTGCACGCTTTTCAAAAATAAGAATTTATATTCATTTACAATTCTCAAAAATTTCTTGTAATTGTTACTACAAATGGAATTCAAATCATACTTCTGGGTTAAGTACAATTTTATTTGGAAGCACTTTGAGGAGTTTGAAAGTGTTAAGATGTTTTTAGAGCTCCACACGAAATTCAAATATGTAATACTGTAAGATTACAGTATTGTAAAGATTGCCTTCCTTACTATTGAAAATTTCAAATTTTAACATTTCATAATTATATTTGAGAAAAAATTTTAAATAACTTGTTAAAGAATTATAAATGATAGATAATTTTAATTAATCATAACTGGTGATCACCTATCCTCTGAAAGAAGATATATATGTTCAGTTTCTAGAAAAGGGAAACTTTAGGGAAGATGATGAGAAATAAAGAGGATTAAGTCTTAGTCAATTATAGGGTGAGATATTATATATTCATAAAGTTATACTAATATATAATTTAGTATGGCCAGTACCAAATGAAGAGAAAGAGATGATTTTGTGGGAGTTCATACAGTGGGTGCAACTACACGTAAGCCCTTTGTATGGCAAATGCAACGATCCCAATAGGTAGCTCTTCTCCTCCCATCTCATTCCATTGCCGAGGACGGAACCCAGGGCCTTGTGTGTACTAGGCAAGTGCTCTACCATTGAGCTATATCCACAGCCCCGCTCTATCTCTCTTTTCATTAAACTTAAAAAAATTGATTTGGTAGGTGAAAAGCTCTGAAACGTATTTCGCTGGACTGAATAGTGGCAATGAAGAAATATGTTAGAATTATCTTATTGATTGTGGCTTTAAAATAGAGTTTGGGTCAAATGGGGCTTCCAATCCTAGTTCTCTGAGGTATCTCCATGCTGATTTCGACAGTGGTTGCACCAGTCTGCATTCCCACCAGCAGTGGAGCAGGGTTCCTCTTTCCCTAAGCCCCGGGCCATTTTCTTAATGTAAATATTACTGAAATTAGTTGAGATTGATAATTAAAGCCCTAAAAAGTAAAATGCACACCAAACTCTAAAGCAAGGTTGACATTTATCACTCTTTGTAATTAATGCCATTAAAAATTAGCATCTAATGGTTGGTTTTAACTTCTTCATAGCTGCCATTTTTTTTTGTTGCTGAGCAATGTTCATTATATGAATTTATCATATTTTATCAACAGTATTCTATTGCTATACTATGAATTTTTTCCAGTTTTTATCTAATACAAATAGAGCTGGCATAATATATATGTACACCTTGATTTTTGTGTGCATGTGTGGATATAGGCTTCTAGTTTTTTGGTTGAAGACCTATGGATGGTATTTTTAAATCATACTTAAGTTTATGCTTGTCATTATAAAAACTGCCAAACTATTTCCCAGAATAGGTTTATCTTTTTACACTTCAATCACTAATACAGAGAATTCTGTTTTCTTCATAAACTTGCCAATATTTAGTAATGTTCACTTTTTAAATGTTAGTTATCTTTTTGGTCATAAAACATTACATGTTATTATATTATACTGTGGTTTTAATTTGCATTTCTCTTGATGACTAATGCTGTTGGATACTTTTACATTCACTTTGTACCATTTGTAAATCTTTCTCTTTCAATTGCCTATTCAAGTCTTTTGCCCATTAGGCAAAAAATTGCTTATTTCTGTTTATTATTGAGTTGTAGCTTTTTATATAACCTAGAATTTGTGAGTATTTAGAATATCTGTAGAGGTGTGTTAAGAGTATTTTTTCCAGTGTGCGGCTTGTTCATTCATTTTCTTAATGATGAGTTTGGACACATGGGAGCTTTTAAGTTTGATGAAGTCTGCTTTTTTAAAAAAAATATTATTATGATGAGAGTATTCTGTGTCTTAATAAATCTTAGCCTTTTTTAAGGTTAGAGAGCTTCTGAAAAGTATGTTTAATAACTGTATAGATTTTAACTTTTATATATAATTGTAAAACTTATTTTGAATGTTTATGTCTACAATGTAAGCTAAGAGTTAAAGTTTATATTTTTCCTTGTTGATGTTGAGTTATTGGAGGCTGACCTTTGTGATCCAGAGACAGGTAGGGGTGTAGCTCAGTGGTAGATTATTTGTCTAGCTTGGTTGAGGCCCTGGGTTCAATCCCCAGCACCCAAAAACAAAACAAAACCCTAAAATACTTTAAATGCGATAATTTAGAAGTGAGAACAACAATTTCTTTCCTTTATAAAGTTGCTTGGCTATCAATTTGTATTTGCACGAGACAATCATCTTGTATAGGTAAGAGATATTGTGAGGACTAAATGTTAGTAGTCAATTGATTGTTTTCACACTTGAAATTACAGTCAAGGGGAATCCAAAAACTTGTGGACTTAAGTGAACAGCAAACTAGTGGATTTAGTGACAAAAATCTTATACAAGCCTTTCTTTTTCTAATTGCCTCCCTCAATGAAACAATAGCAGCCACAACGATACCAAAATAATAATACTTTATGTGGCCCCCTAAAGTTTTGTTATGTGATGCAGTGCTAAAATCAGTGTTGAGGAAGAATCTCCTCATTCCTAGAGGGATGCTGATTCTAAAACATAATGTAGAACCACATAAAACTGAGCACTACTTCGTTGCAACAGAGAGAAACCCAGAGGAAAGAGGCTTAAGGAAAATAAAAAAGGATTTGATTATGTAGCTTGAGAAATCCAAGGGCTAATAGCTTGCTTCACGTAAAACAGGTTCTGAAATTTTTTCTTATGTAAAAATTTTTGGTAAACAATTTTTTAAGTAGCGGGACTAGACAACTGATCTCATTCTATGAACCTATTACTTGGAAGTATTAAAATTGTATGGGGGCCTAAAAAATACCCTTGTAAGAAGATAAAGGCAAAACAACTCACTTTTTAAAAAATAAGATATTTGTCTCAGGTAGTAATCATGCAATTTACATCAGTTGTCCAGATCATTATCTGCATTTAGAGAAAAAAAAAATCTTGATTTGTTAATTCAAATGATCAGTATTTTCTTTCTAGACTTCCAACTACAACCTAAGCATTAGTCTGTTGAGTTGGGTGGGTGGGAATTTATTCTGGATTTTTCGGAAATAGGGAAACAGAACAGGATGTGTCTCCTGTGTTAATGACCTTGTGGTCTGGGCAAGACTCAAATGCTCCTTCTCCCCTGCGCTTACAAGCATCTCGCGTTTGTTTCGACATTCAGAGGCACCGTGCGTCTTCGCGTCGTTTGCAGAAAGCCTAGCTCGTTGAAGAGCCGAAGAAGCCCACTTCATTTCCCCCGGTTTCCATCTGCCTGCGTTTGTTCTTTGGTGCTGCTGGGGAAAGGGCCCGAGCTTCCTGCAGGCACTGCTTCTCCGCGTTTCGCAGACCCGCTGCTTGAGGGTACTGGCTGCCTGTGAACCCTGCTCCTTGACACTTTGCTTTCCCCTCGTTTCGCGGTGAAGCAGCCCAGCTGTGGTCCTGCAGAGACTTTTCCCTTTCTCTTCCCCGCTCTGCCCCTCCCCGACCGCTCTGGGCTTTGACGTCACGTGTGCTCCTTTTAGTTGCCATAGCAACGCCGTTCCCCAGCCCTGTGTCCGTCTCCTCTGGTAGGTTCCACAATGGTACAGGCAGCATCACGCCGCACAATGGTTTCCAGGCAGTGAAAGGGGGTGATTCAGCAAGCTGCTCGTCTCTTTTAAAACCTCCCCGTTCCTTTTGCTTTTTATGGGGGTGGGCGGTGCTTCTTATATGCATACCTTTTTCTTTTCTTTTTGCATTTTTACAAATTCTTTTTCTCCTCTTCCCTTAGTTGGTAGGGGCTTGAGTGAGTTTCAGATTGGGTCTTCTCCGAGATCACCTGCCTACCATTAATTTTAAACAGTCTCCCCACCTCCAAGGAACCGCTTCCTTGTTGCAGTTTGGGATGCGGTTTATGATAACCGAGTGAGGAGGATTTCTGGGGCAAACCCTGCCGGATCAGGACTGTAGTTATCAGGCACGGAATGGTAGGTGGCTCTGCTCCTTCTGGGTTCTAACCTGATTGTGGAGGGTGGGGGTGATGTCTACTCGTGGCTCCTGGTGGGCTGGGAGAGGGAGCATGGGCGGCTGGAGAGAGTTGGGGTCGAGAGTGGGCTCATCAAGTCAAGTAGCTCTGAGGCTAGAAGCCACCACGCTTCTCTCTGGGCAGAGCATCTTCTCAGCCCTGGCGCGTTGAAACCTTTCCGTGTGGAGTCAAGGGTGCAGAGGATGGGAGGGAGCAGCGTGATGTGACCGGAGGGGCTTTGAGACCACTGTAGAGCTCCGGAGGGAAGTGACTCCCACACCGGGACGGAGGCAGCTGTGTGTGTTGGAAGTACTGACCTTGGTCCCCCGTCTGAGAAATGCTATGGGTTCCATTAGACATTCAAAAAGAATGTCACTTAGTGATCATTTATGTCTACTTCATGGCAATGAATGTTTTGGCATTTATTTCTGTAATTATTTATATAATTTAGCATGGAATTAAAAATATAGATATATACTTTTGCAGAGAGACTCTGGGCTACATTTGGGTTAGGCAGAGGAACAGGGAACAGGGGTCAGGTTAGAGATCAGAGCAAACACTGACGCTGCAGTCACATAGGTAAGTAAGGGGTCCCTTTAAGAAAGTGATCTCTTAGTCACAGCAGGCAGCATTTTTTTAAAATGGCAATGTTCCCAGGTATCCTGTGCTGGGATACTGTGTCCCCTACAAATGTCAGAGCTCTTTTGGGAAAAAAAAAGATATATCACCAGAAATGAGCATGGTGATATATTTAGCACAATTTATGCTTTTGTGCTTTCAGCAACATGAATGGTCTTTACTGGAAGATCTTCAAGTCAATTGGGATATAGATATTTCAAGACAACTATATGTATTTCCTTTTTCTCCCCCTCCTACACTTAAATCTGAAGACTTAGTGGTCATTCTCCCAGGGTTACTGTGATTTAGCTCCAGAGACAGCCTGGCTTATCCCACAGAAGCCAGCACCGAAACAATCATAAGGTTGTTTACATGGGATGCTTTTGCTGCAGAGCCTGACGGTACTATACAGCAGCCCTGTTTCTCTGGTGCGTTGACAGTAACTTTCGTGAACATACCAGAAAGGAGCAGGCTAAGTCTTGTGGGACAGACCACAGTGGAGATGGAAAGAAAATGGGTGCAAGTAAGTGCACCAGACATCACCGGTCCTAGGTGCAGCTTCTCCCTCTGTTCCTGTCTACGACTCATCAGACCCTGGAAGAGGTCCTCCCATGCAGATCATCATATTTAAAATGACTGCAGTAATGACCATGTCTCCCAGCGAGGCCTCTGTGGCGAGCATGTATGTTGTAAACACAGATAAGCAATGCTTAGAAATGAGCTTGCAAGCATCCAGCTCCACTTGGGAACTGTTGGATTTTAGGGGCTGGGTCACTGGGATGTAGCAATTTAACTGCCTCTGGAGTGCATTCCCTTCTGGGTCTTGATCTTACCCTTCCCAATGACAAAGTATCGGATAGCTTATTTTACCACATGAGCAAACTGGGGTTTTCTCTACCCTACAACAGGACTATTGGATGACAAAGATGATATGACCTTAACTATTAACTGTCTTTCTGCTTCCTCGTTGCAAATCACTCTTTCCCACTATCGCAAAGGGTCTTCAATTTGAGGGGCTCCTGTTCTTGCAAAATCTTTGCAGTTTCACTAAAGATTCAAGACGATGAGGCAGTAAGAAATATACACGGAGGGGAAAAATCAGCTGCTTCCAGCCTCCTGCCTGCTCACCCCAGAGCAGCAGCTGCTGCGGGGAGGAGGGCACTTGCTGTGCTGGAAGGGGATGTTTATGAACAGATCCCACAGGGACAAGTGTGTTTTTGCTGTCATTGTCTGGCAGGTCTGCAGTTATTAGCATTTAATGGTTTCATAGTATGTGGTCAGTATTCGTCAAGGTTAAAATGATTGGAAAATTGGTCTTGAATGCTATCTGATATAAGTAATTTACATTTACAGGAAAATTAACTCATTGTTGGTATATTCTATAGGACTACCGCTAGCAAAAGGAATTTTTCCTACTTAAGTCATCTGAAAAAGCCTCTCATGACTAAAGGCACATGCATATTTAAAGTTTGATTGTAGCTTTATGTAAATGAATCTTTGAATATAAGCTCAATTACAGAGGATTTTATACTGATGACAAAATGTAAAGGCAAAATGAGAGAGGTTTTTTTTTTTGTTTGTTTGTTAAATGTGGGGACAGGTATTTTCCCTTCCTGCTCTAGTTTTGACATCCAGCCACATTTTTAGTTAAAGGTCTTGGAGTGGGATTGGTGTGTTCAAGTCAAATGATGGCTTGGTTGCTTATGTGAAAAATGAACTCAAAGCAAGTGAGTCATCCTTCAATTACAGAAAGAAGTAAAGGACTTGGCTTTTAAAATTTTCTTCATCACCCCCTGTATTTCCTCTGGCCTCTGTTTGAAGCTTTGGGTTGGACACTGTAGCAACCATGTAAAAAGAGGCACAAAAGTATCCAGTAAGGACAAGAGTGGAACCCAATGCTCTGCTTCCTGCAGGCTTGCCTAGCACCCCGTTCTACCACACAGCCACGGATTGCTGCACCTTCTTCTGAGAACCAAGGCCTGGTGGAGAAAGTTGAGCTGTGGCTTCCTGGGGGAGAGAGTTATTGGCAAATAAGGGCAGATTCCATTTGCATCTTTAGTACATTGAATGTAGTGATTGCCTTACATAAGTCTGAGAGGAGACACCATACTGCTGATTTAGAGAAAAGATCATGCTGTATATTGATTGTTTGAAAGGGAGTGTGTCATTTAGAATTGGAGGGTGTGTTTTCAGATATTCACCTATGTGCGCGTGTTTTATTAGTAAGATTGTAGGGTTCCGACTAGAGACTTTTTGGTTTGAATATGTTTTACCCCTGTGTCACAATGAGGCAAAGAGAGGGAAGAGGAGAACTGTGTGTGTTTGGGGGACACATTGTTTTCCTATGTTAAATGGAGAGAAGCTTCGTTTCCTATGGTAAACCTTGGTGGAAAAATCTGTCAGAGACATCGAGGTGAGACTGAAAATGCTGAAAGAAAGAGAAACATGTTTTGTTTGAAAATTAGACTTAATGCAAACTTATTTTTGGTAAAGGGTTTTTTTTCATCCATGTTGTGGATCCTTGAGAAGCTACTGTGGCCTTTGTCACTCTTCTTCTCTCTGGAGACTGAGCGATGTGGAACCCATGGGCTGATGGAAATGATGTTTGTAGGAGCAGAAACCCAGCTTCTGAATAAGAGGAGAACCTGAAGGCTCCCCTGGAAAGAACCTAACCGCAGCTGTTCTATGCCTCATGTGTGGGGTGCAGGTGGAGCTCCCAAAGGGCAACCGGGCATTTGCAGAGTAGCCTACTTAGTAGCACACAGGATTTTTGCTGCTGCTGCTGCTGCTTCTACTTCTTTTTTTTTTCCTCCTTCCCTTCTTTTGATGATAGGAAGAAATCAAAACCCGAACCAAAAGCAGCAGTGTCTTAAAAGTATGTACTAGAAATTCATTTTAATTGGAGTATCCCCTTAGAAGTACAGCTGACTCTGGTTTGTGGATGTTAAACTGCCTGGGTGTCTAGGAACTTCCTGAAAATGGGTCTCTTAAAACAATTGGCCTGTTTTTGTGAGATGGAAGTAGGATCTGAAGCCATTGATAGTGAAGGAGAGCTCTTAGGTCTGCCTGTTGGGTAACATTCATTCAATGTCTTCAGAAGGAAGCTCCATTTTACTACTCACCACACAATAGGGTAACCGCCTATTCCTATATCATCTATATTCTCTGCTAAAGCATAGTCTCTGCCAAGGACTGACTTAGGCACACAGTAGGGGCACAATAAATATTTACTGAATGAATATATTACATATACAGAATTTTTTCTAAGTGCTATGGGTGGAAGAGTTTGGGAAAGTGGAGGAAAAGTTTCTGTCATTTATAGCTTATGATCTTTTGGGAAGATGAAGTTAAATAACAATAATGATGTCATAAGACTAAGGGTCCATACCATGGGTTGAAATAAGTAGAAATCCGGAGAGAAAAATGTATCCCTTCTGTAGTTGACATTGGAGGCCACACCAGGATGCTGGGCAGGGGCAGGAGGGTATTCCTAGGAGTAGTAGCAAGCAGCTGGCCTGGAAAAAGACTCATATTTGGGACAGATAACATTTATTTGTGGTGTGGTGTCTGTATTTTCCAAACTAGAAAAACAAAACGATAATTTGACAATGGGTAGACCATTAGAAACTGGCACAATTGTTGAGAATCTAGTGGGATATAATGCTGAAAAGTGACAGGCACTAAGGTTGAAAAAACAAGGTTATCACTAGATCATATCATGACAGAATACAGGTCTGTTTCTAACTTTTTTTCCTTTTTATTGAGTTTATTGGTACATTCTAGGTATATAGTACAGTTACATTCATTACTGGGATCTTGTACCTTTACATGACAGGTCCTGGTTCTCATTTTTTCCCCTTTTCCCTTCTAACTTTAAACCGAGTTTAGTTTTACTTTGTTTCACTTACCTCAAAAGTTTTCATCCTTTTATTCATAACTGTATAACCATTTTTTCCAAGAAAGCTTACAGGAAAAGCAGAATATGTAAATGTATATGACTATGGAACTATCTCAATTTAGGCTGAATTGATGTCTCCTTATTACACCACCAAGTCCATAACCACAAAGTCGGATATCACGTTGATCCAAAGAACAATTACTAGTGGAGTTTATGTTTGGATTTTAAAATATATAGCTGTCCTGGATTTGATAACATGCGAGTTTTGGTGTTTGCAACAGTCTCCAAACTGAGGTGACCACTTTGAGATGTTTTATTTTCTTCCCTTGCATCTATAACCTAGAAAACAATTGTCATTTGTCTTTGATGTCAGTCATTTAGTTTCCTAAGTGCAGGGGAAATTTCCTTTTAAACGTCACAAATCAAGCTCATCTATCTTTTTGTTTTTGATTTTAGGCTAGCGTGAGAAATATCAACAGCAGGACCACCTCAGATCTTGGTTATGGCAATGCATGCAAGAAGCTGTTGAACTAGACCCATTTCCTATAGATGACAAACTATACCAGCAGTGGTGAGTTGCATGTTTTAAAATGCTCTTTAGCATGAAATCTATGATCTGCATAAGCAATTGCATATTGCATATAGTCCAGGGTGTATGGCACTGAAGAAGAGTCACCCCGAATAATTTCAGCCCAAGTGAAAATCAACAGGACAGGATGTTTAATCAACGGTGCAGTTCTCCACATCTGGTGGGAGAGGTCTTGTGATATGCCGTGACCCTCCCACCATTGACTGTTCCAGGACATTAAGATGGCTTCAGTGAACAATTTTGTGTGGCAGAGTAACAGGGAACATTGTTGTTATGTGGGTTTTCTTATTTGCGGTGTAATACTATGTTTTATCAATTAAGCTCCTTCAAAAGAAAAAAGTACTTCTGAGCTAAATTGCAATGCTTAATTCTTTTCAGAAATCCATACGCACATATCATTTAGACTTTCAAGAAAAAAGGCAGAGGGGCTGAGAATTTAGCTCATTGGTGAAGCACCTGCCTTGGAAGTGTAAGGTCTTGAGTTCAATCCATGGTACAAAAAAATAAAAGAAAAAAAAAAAAAAAAAAAAAAAAAAAAAGGCAGAGAAATTATATCACAGCTTTATACAGCTCAATTTATGTTTATTTTTAAAGAAAACAGTATTAAAAGTAGATCCAGTTGCTCTACTTTGGAATAATTTTACTTATTTTTTAAAAGTATCAGCACACACAGAATGTTTTTTAATCAAATACTTAATACTTCATAGTAACCTAATTCAATAATCTGTAGTCTCCAACAGAGATGAATAAATTATAATCTGTTCAATAACATCTTTGAGAACAGAATATGACAGTGGTGGTGCTAAATTCCAAGAAAAGTTATTTTGAGCTAATGATTAATATCTCTCTTCCATTTGCTTAGTAGCTTGTATAACCAGCTGTAGACAGGCTGCTCTATGAATTAACACATACCTTATAACTGCAGAAGTAGGATGGAGTCAACCCTATAGTTATTTCAAATTGTGACTTTTAAGATAATCTGCTTACAGATGTATTGAGAAAGTAATGTAGTAGTCACCATTAGGCTGTGTATAACCAAAATGTATTCAAGGAATATTTGTCAGAAAGAAGACATAATGTAATTGCTAATAAGCAATTTTGAGGATCAGTTCAGTTTTGTAAGGTTAAACATAATATGCTGTTATGTGCTACTTTCAGTGATGTAAAAATATACATATTGCTTCCATGCTAAATATTTATTCATTAAGCAATGCTTATTGAGAGTCTCTGGTGTAAATATCTTACTGAATTTTGGGATCAATGAAAGTCTTTGCTCTAAAGGAATTTTCAGTCCAAAGAATGTCATACTCATAAGAAAGTGTGCTGTTAACAGATATATTCTAGAAAGTGTGGCAGTTGTGCAGTGGTATTATATAGCTAGACATACGGTGCTGACGGAGGGACCATAGAGGAGAATTGAGCACATGTGTGGCGGGAATAAGTCAGGGAAGGCTTTCCAGAGAAGTGAGATTTTAATGAACTGTTAAGGGTGGTAAGAAGATAACAAGAGGAAAGGAGGAATCAGTGGCATAGTGGGAACAGTTTTCACAGGTCAGAAACTTGAGAGGGCATGAATGCGCCATTAGGTACCATGTACTCTGTGGTAGCGTAGATGCTAGTGTCTGAGCTGTAGCTGGAGAGGGGTGTAGGAGATACCATGCAGGATCTTCTAGACAAAGGTAAAGACTTTCCTTTTTAGCCTAAAGCGAAGAGCTTTTGAAAAAAATTTTAAGGAAGAGAATAGCATAATCAGCTTATTTTTAAGTTACGGAATATGCTCATTGAATAATATATAAAATCAATACAGGTTAAAGAATAATTGCCAATTGCACTCCGTGTACCTACTCATATTATGGATAGGCTCTCAGCAAGCTCCTTGTTGCCCCTTTAAGATCACATACTTTTCCGTCCCCACCAGAGGAAGTCACCAACTGCAGTACTTTCCTACTTGCCATCACTTTCCCGCTTCTTATCTTTGGAGGATTTCCATCTATGTGTATATCTTTATAGTGTTTATCTTACTTCACCTGTGCTTCAACACCACATATCTGTAGCACGTATATATATCCTAAATCTCCTGATTATTTTGCTAGACATTGTGAAACTCTTCTATGTCCATGGGTGTGGTTTACTCATTTAAACTGTCGCATAGTATTCTACCCTAAGAATATACCAGATGTACTTATCCATTCTACTTTTGCTGAGTGTTTGGATTGTTTCCATATGACTTGCACTAGAATTAGAGTATATTATACCATTTTCTGTGTTTATCTCTGTATTGTTCTCTATATTGGTCCTCATAGATTCTACCACAAACACGTAAGGCTTCATGAGGATAAATATCAAAGGAAAGAACTGCTAAGTTTTAAGGTGTTGATTTTACTAAATATTTCTGCCGTATTTTTCCAAAGTTGTTACACTGGTTTGCACTTCCAGAAGCTGTATAGGAAGAATTCTACATTCTCACTAATGCTTGATTTATAAGTTCTTAGATTGTTCTAATCAGGTACATACATAATTGTACTCATAGAAGTATTAATTTGCATTTTGCTGATTACTAATGAAGACATCTTTTCATTTTTTATTGGCCATTTGAATTTCCTCTTTTGTGAAGTGCCTGCTCAAATCTTTTTGAGATTTATTTTTCAAAATAATTAACACTTTTGAGTTCTTACTGTGTAATAGGCACTATGCTAAGCACTTTGCAAATGTTTCATCTTTAATCATCTCTATGATTTACAGAGAAGGAAACAGGTTTTGAGAGGTTAAAAAACGCTGACAATTATACAGTTACGAAACTGTAAATTTAACATTCAATCCTAGGTCTTTATGACTCTAGTGTTCTTTAGTTTTTGAAGAGTGTCTGGAGGGGAATTAGGTTGCAGCTATAAGAATACTAATGGTGCAATTGTAGGAATCTCGTTAAAAAATAACAAGGGCACCACCAAAGAATTGCCAGCAGGGGTTATGTAGCAAACAATCAGACATAGTGATTGTGCTGGGTGAAGAAGAGGGATGTACAATTCAATACCTGTTGGTTAGGGAGGTTCAGTATTATTCATACAGTGTAAAGCTATAGTCTTGATATGTGGTAAATTCTAAGGACATATTTTATGACTGTGATTCAATAAGAGACGAACTTCATTTACAGGTTCATAAACTTTAAAGTTAAACAGAATATAGTGTTTATTTGGTTCAACTCTACTTTTTAAAAATGTAACAGCTACTAAAAGAGGGTAAGTGTTTGTTCAAGATCACATATTACTAACTGTCAGGTTAAGAATAGATACCAGGACTTAAAAAATAGATAAGAGATACATAAATATATAGATATATAAACATATAGATAAATAAATACTGCCTTATTTCTAAATTGATAAGCAAACATACAGTTAACCTGCTCATTTTGTAAACATTTCTTAGATCAGTCCTCTTTGATCTTTACCTGTGACCACAGCCATAATTTGGGCCCCAAGTATCATGTGCAGCAGGTTATATGAATATCTTCATGTGATACCTTCTTGTTCATGATTCTACTAATGAAGCCACCATTTAAAAAGTCTGATTTGCTGTTGCAACACACAGTACAAAGGCTCTTAGGTATACCCCATCATTCATGAAATAATTTTCCCTCTCCTTAAAAATACATTCCTGGCCAGTCCATTTTGGAGAGAACGTCAGGGACACTGATGTGTCACACACAGTTGACCTACTTTGTAGTGTCGATTTTGCCTGCATGCATCTCTTATGGATGGTCCCTAATTCATGATGCTTGCACTTAGCTTCTGACTTTTCAGTGATACAAAAGTGACAGGCACTCAGCATGATCCATACATCAGGTATAGAGTTGTGATCTTTTCTGGGGCCACTGACGTGCTATAGGGCGCTGTCTTGTGGTGTCAGCAGCAGTGGCAAGCGTCTTGCTGTGCTATGGCATATGTGGCAGTTTTGTGCAGAACAGGCTTTGCGGTGGGTGATCTTGGACAACTGTTGACTGACATAAGCCCTCCAAGTACCTTTCAGGTCGGTGCAGGTAAGCTGTGGTGGCCACTAGATTAGGGATGTCAAATGCTCTTTGATTCATGAAATTTTCAACTTATGATGGTTTACTGGGACAGAACCCCATAGGAAGGTGACAAGCATCCTGCTGAACATTTCTATTATACAAATGATGAAAACGAGGGGCTGGAGATTTAGAAACATCCTGTAGGTCATGCAACAGTGGTAAGCAGAGTTTAGAATGACTGATTTTAGAACTTCTATTTTTTATTACACATTTCCCATTAAGCATTAAAACATTGATATAGTTTAAAACTTGGGCAAAAATATGAATAAGGGTTCCAGGGAATAGTAATGGCATAATCAATGTAAAAAAAGCTAAAAATGAGTGTTACAGGTTTGGAGCACTAAATACCTTACAAATGAGGTAAATAAGAGGATATTCTGAAATTTGTCATTTTGTGTTCTGTCGGTGGCACCAAGATATATTCTTGAGGTTGTTTTAGCTGTAGTAAAATCCAAATGAGTAGCCCTAATCTATGGGTTCCATATCTGTGGTCTCTTCAGATTCACACGTGGGTTCTTAATGCCCAGAGTGATGGTACTAGGAGACAGGGCCTCTAGAAGGTGATTAGGGAACAGGCTTGGGGAGAGCCCTCACGACTGAAATAAGTGCTCATATGAAAGAGACCTCCAGAGAAGTCCCTAGACTCTTCTACCATGTGAAGACAAAGTGGGAGGTCTTATCTGTGAGATAGAAAATAGGCTGTCTCTGCACCCCAAGGCTGCTTTGATCTTAAACTTCTCAGTTTCCAAACTGAGAGATAAACTTCATTGCTTATAAGCTACCCTGTTTATGGTATTTAAAAAACAGTAATCCATTTTATCGACTAAGTTCTCCATAAAATTTTAGACTTTTCTTTCTCTTCCTCCTCCTATCCTTCCCCTCCCTCTCCTCCTCCTCTGCCTGCTTCTCCTCCATC